TCTGCCCATAGACCTGAGCCAGCTGACCTGTAGCTGTACGTAGAGACCATGATGTTGGTGAAATATCTTCCGTCGACACCGTGCTTGGATTCAGGATGGTCATAGTCGCCCCGGTGTCCAGAAGTCAGCTTTGGAGACGCCCGTTCACCTTTCCGTCGACGTAGAAACTGCTCGACTGACTTCCCAGTGAAGCAACTTTAACACTTTTCCTCGGGGCTTTCAAATCGCGGGCTGACGGTTGCCCCTTTCCATCAACCCTCCTTAGTTTTCCTGCTTCGGTTCTGATGTGGTCGAAGGACATTTACTCCGGGGATGTCCTATCTGTCCGCAGCTCCAACAGCGTATCTGCCGGCGACGAGTTTTTAGTGCCTCCAGCACTCTCTTTACTAGCTCCTCGATGTCCAGTGGAGTTGTAGGTTCTGCGTCTGCCACGCGGACTCGAGCCTGGCCCCTAACCGACTGTCGCACAGCCTCGAACTCCAGTGCCTGTGTCAGTGCGTCACTCAGGGTCTTTGGTCTGGCGAGTTTCACTGCCTGTTGAGTCTCAGGTTCACGTAGACCGTCTAGGAATTTATCCACCGCCAAACTCTCGTAGACATCATCCGTGACCGATGGATAGGCGTTTCTCACCAGGCGAGCAATGTCGGCTTCAAACTCCTGAAGTGACTCGCTGGGCTTCTGGATCCGGTTCCGCAGCTGTGATCGATAGAGCTGGTCCATATGTCGATGTCCAAAGCGCATGTCCAATCTTCTTACTAACTCTGCGAAATTCTTCCGCTCCGCCATTGGCATAGCATGCAGAACAGCTAGTGCATCACCCCGTAGTGCAAGGCACAGCGCTGAAGCCTTTGTCTCCTCGGTCCACCCATGAACCATAGCCGCTGTCTCGAAGAGAAGCATGTAGTCCTCCCAGGGAGTTTTGCCATCGAAGTGAGGAACGATGTTCTGAGGGGCAACGGCAGCAATGGTGGGCGCTGGTTTGGAGATCGTATCTAGGGTGTTATCCTGCTGAAGTTCGCTAGTGCTAGCCGATGACGCAGGTGTGAAGCTCCCCGATGCAGCCATCTCCTGCCTAAGCTTATCAACTAACCTATCTTCTAGATTCTTTTCTATACAGTTAACTTTCTCATCGATTTCATTTATTCTACTTTCTAAACTATCAACTTTGCTAGAATATTCACCTAATTTGTTCAGCATTTTTGATTCTACATTTGACATTTTTGTCTCGATGCTAGCTTCTAAGTTTTTGTTATTTTCTGACATTTTTGACTCAATGCTAGCTTCTAGGTTTTTGCTATTTTCTGACATTTTAGACTCGATATTAGCTTCTAGGTTTGACATTTTTGACTCTAATGTTTTGCTATTTTCTGACATTGACTCTAATGTTTTACTATTTTCTGACATTTTTGACTCTAAGTTCTTAAGCATTTTATTCATATCTGATGTTTCAAATAAAACGTTTTCTGGGTCTTCACCTGCATCAATTAAAGCTTGTTTAAGGCGTGCCTGAAGGGCTGATTTAGTTCCACTAGTATCAATATCTCGTTCTTCTAATTCTCTCCTCAGGTCAGCTACTTTTAACTCATCAAGTTTCACACCTTTGAAAGCCATTTTTATGCCAAACAATTAAAATAATTTTACAATAAATGATTTTTTCCTTTGTAAACAAATTTACGACACAAATTACTACTATGTAATGAAGACCCTGAATCTTACTAAAATATCTAATACAACTAAAATTAAACTCAATATTTTACAATTAAAATCGCCAAAATAATGCCGCTTTCTGACACCAATTGTTGCGGGCTTAGCAGGTTCTTTACAAATAAAACTTGGCGATTTTATAATAACTATTTATTTACACTAATTATTCTATATTTACAGATATTAGAATTACCTAACACCTAACTAACCCTATCTAAACCTAGCTAAAGCCTATTCTAATTTACAATGTTTCTACTTACAGCTGGCCTCTACAGGATTTATCACTTCTGTTACAACACTGTCACTACACTGTCACTAGAGTCACTACACTGTTACTCTCACTGTCACTACACTGTCACTGCCACTAGCACTAGCACTGGTCACTAACACCGACGGGCACTGCTGCGACGATTCTCGGAAGGCTCAACTCAACTCAACTGCCGTGTGCTGGAAGACGGTCCCTTATATAAGTTTGTCGTGGAACATTCTAGAGTGGAGAGTTCGAGCATCCGTTGTTTACAAACCGGCGTAGAAGTAGAAGGTTCTAGGGCCCCTATTGAGGTAGTCCGTTGACATAGGTCTATTGTCTATCAGTGGTGCGTTCTGAGAAACCCGTGTAAACAAACAACCCTTTTGTGACGGCGCCTGGCTATTGTTGCGCGGGGCTCCTGACTTGTAACACTAATATTATAAATGTGAAAGTTTGTGTGTTTGTTTGTTTGAAGTTCAATCACGCATAAACCACTGGACGGATTGGGCTGAAATTTGGCATCATGATAGCTCACATTCCCGATTAACATATAGGCATATTCTTATCTCAAAAATCCTTTCGGGCTCCGCCCCAGTGGCTCTGTAGTTCCCCATGTTAACCTTATGAGTATTCATATTTAAAGGGAATTAAAGAATTTTGTCAGCTGTTTCAACTAACAAAGTTGGTTCTGTGATATTCAAAAGCGTTAAAGCTATAAGATTTACCAACAGGGTGCAGCACTATATTTTTTTTGCATTTATATAATGAGAACTGTCAGAGTAGGATTGTTTACAGTTATGTTTATGTTTTTAATGTCATGAATAATTTGTGTTTTTTGAGAATTTTTAATAATTTATTTTTCTTACTTTTTAGGTGAAGTGGTAGAACATTATGGCTATAGTAGATGTGTAATACCATAGTATACCGTCAATTTATATAGAAGCAAATTGTATCAAACTTTCTCCTCCTCCATTACAAACGCATAACTGCAATAAGCATTTTAAACTTATATGCCAACCCCGTACGAAGGACGGGTACTCTGCTAGTAATAATATATAACAAACTAACTTCTCTTGGCTAGGAGGACTGCAATACTGCAAAACAAAAGTAAAAAAATGGAATTCAGTAACTAACAACAATATAAAAACTATTTCACTATTTTTAAAGTTGATCACGCTGGGTTACAGTAATTTTTTCTGTTGTTGGTATTAATATATCGACGTTCATGTAAGTTTGTGATACAATATGCATATATTCTTGATGAGATGCGACACGCTGTACAGCATCAGTTAGTAATCACTAATCAGTGACAACGTACTAGTCGTATTACTTATTTATGTAATCATATGGAATACTATGATTACTATTCTGATCACTTCATGCCATGTGGCTGCAGTAATGCAACGGTGTGAATAAACAATTCTGTACAAGCAAGTGTTGATCAGTGATGAATCCAAAGATTCTATTATTTTGAGATTTTTAGCTTTTAGACACTTTAAATGAATCCTCTGACGATTTCAAACAGGACTTAACAAGATTTAAACTGTTAACTTTTGTTCTCTTTCGATGTTGAAAAATAGTACAACACGAAACTTTATCACACGACTTTGTTATTTAGGTACATTATAGGTTTGATCAATCATTATATAATTTACGTATATAAAAAACCCCAAAGCAAATACAAACTCGCAAGTTCACAGCTATATACAGTAGTAGACTACAGGGAATTCAGTAGTGAAACAAATAAATCGGCGCACTAGCCTAGACCTAATTAAAAACCTAGAATGATAAATAATATCTTTAGTAAAGTAGTGTGGTAGTTATGTTGATAGAACATTTTATAAGGCTTACGATATCATAAAGAAGATAATCTTCAATCACCGATTGTCATGCTATGATTGCGTATTAATTGTGTTCTTCGTGCTTCATGTCAAGCAAAACTCATCATCAACCAGAAAAATAAAAATATAGGTTCCGTAATCCCAGGATTAAATTACGATAATCCCGGGGTGTTTATGGTACCAAACCCGGCCGGGATCCCGGGATTCAGACATGTAGTTGGATCACACATAGACCAAAAGACGTAATTCATAGAAACGCGACGGATAGCTAAGGTGCCTTGTGCTTGGAACAAACCAGTGGGATTAACACCCCCAGAAGCATCACGAAAGAAAGGAAGAGGTTTCTCTTACTGCCTCTCGAACTCTTCGTCCAAACTTTCCTGACATTACAGGCACCAGCATTATCTTGGCAAAGTGTGAAATAAAGAGTTTAGCCACACTCCAGAAGCCATCGTTCTGTAGATTTCTCTCCGAAGACTGGTCAAGGAAGGCCACCTAGGTGGTTGCTCGTCGATTCTCGAGGAATTAGTATTTTTAGAATATGGTGAATTTCAAAGACGTTGAATTCGTCCATGGAATCACAAACGAATTTACTGGGGGAATTCGTTTAAGCCACCTTGAAATGGAAACTTAGTGTTTCATTTTTCATAACAAATCTATGCTATGATGTTATTAATTACTTTACGCACACGACGTGGTCAACCCCAGAGTAAAATTACAGTTCAGATCAATTTAATCCTCCTGTGATGTAATCGATAGGAGTTCAAAATAAAACTAGCTTGGTCAAGCGTATTCACAGAATCTTTAACTATAAAACATACCCTATGGTGTGAGCATGCACAGTTATGTTTAAAGGCTTTAAAAAATTAAAGACGGATGTATTTCAGTATGTTGATATTGATTTTGAGTTCGATTTTATGGGCTCAAGTAGGTTAATTACCACAATATTCCATAATCCTGATGGAGGGCTCCACAGTCAAACTACCGTAGGCAGTCGTATCTTGGTCTTTGGCAGAGGGCCACGTTGTTGGATTTGGGAATATAGTGACCACTATATTCATATCCCGGAGACCCGAAGTCAAAAATTCAATGCAATATTTTTACATCAAAGATGTATCATTCTGATACCAAAATGCCAAACACACATCCTAGAATAAAGAAGCCAGGCGAATTCTTTGTACAATTTGTAAACTCAGTAGACCTACCTTCCATACTGGGCAGCCAGGTCCAGCGCGGTCTCGTGTCGGCTGTTGCGGATTGTCGGATCACAGGAGTGTTCCAACAACTGACTGACCACTGCCGTGTGTCCGTACTGGGCGGCGCAGTGAAGGGCTGTCTCCCGGTCTTTGGTCTGCAACACAACATCAACAAAACATCAGCAACAGCTTTCTATGGTAATGTACTCTGTAGAGAAATGTACCAGTCACGAATGTCTATTTGGAGAATCAGCGAAGAAACACTTAGTGACCATTGTATAACTTCAGCGAGGTTTCAGGAGGAGTTTCAAGATCATAGACATCAGAATGAACAGAAGAACGTTCATTCTGGTTCTACGTGGTGAGAAAAGGTAGGATTTAAAACAGCTGAAACTAGACAATATTCTACGAGACCTGACGTAAATACGAAAGAAGTTATGAGAGTAGGGATGTTGCAAGGTGGTCAGCTCAAGCTTAAGAGAAGAGAGGATATGTAGATATGGAATAAAGAAAATCTACTGGCGGTTAAAAACCTAAAGGATTGTTGTGGGAAAGTTTAAAAAAACTCAGCAGGAGAAATAATACGATGGTACTGGCATGGAAGACTCTGCGAAGTACATTTGACGCAGTACATATTTGGGTTGTAACTAGACGCTCTGTATCTGGTAGGAAAGGAAAATCTACAACATAGACTCTCAAGAACATGTAGGAGTGTCCAATCGAAGGGGGTTTTTGGATCTGAAAGAAGAGCAGACTCAAAAACACACACTCTCAAGAACATGTACAAGTATCCGATCGAAGAGGGTTTGGATCTGAAAGAAGAGCAGACTCAAAAACACACACTCTCAAGAACATGTAGGAGTGTCCGATCGAATGGGGTTCCTGTATCTAGAAGAAGAGCAGACGCAAAAACACACACTCTCAAGAACATGTAGGAGCATCCGATCGAAGGGTTTTTTTGGATCTGAAAGAAGAGCAGACTCAAAAACACACACTCTCAAGAACATGTAGGAGTATCCGATCGAAGGGTATTTTTGGATCTGAAAGAAGAGCAGACTCAAAAACACACACTCTCAAGAACATGTAGGAGTATCCGATCGAAGGGGGTTCCTGGATCTAGAAGAAGAGCAGACTCAAAAACACACACTCTCAAGAACATGTGACAGTGTCTTATCACCTTTTTTTCAAAAGGGACGTCAGAAGTAAATATTACCTAGGACAATGCTTAAATAGGTGAAGATGATTTCATATAAAAGAGTTGCATTTAGTATTGTCCAATTGAGAGACAGAACAGCTCATGGATTCAAAGAAGATTCAGCCAATAAGTGTACGATCTTTAAAAGAGTGTACGCTGATGGTGCTGTATAACAAGATGTTGAAAAAGGGCAAGTTCTCAGACGACTTGGAGTCAGTAGTCAAGGCGTGTTTTCCAACAAGAACCAAAGTGAAGTAAACCCCTTCTTTCAAGAATAGGAAATATGGAGAAATTGTTTAGGAGGATAAAACTGAAAATAGAAACAAATAATAAAAACAATAATAGACAGTTTAGGACCTAGATTTATCAAAGGTGTGGCAACAGTTGGGTCGCTGCCTTACATGAAAAAGATATTCGAGTAATGGCTGATGTTAATGAACGTGTCTGTTCTGAGATGTTAATGGAGTTTTTGTTACTGCATGGGGGTAAATAATTTGAAGAGTGTTGCGTGAATGCGGATATCTGGAGAGCATCAATCGAAGTGTAACCTGCTAGTTCCAGGGAATACAGACGCTATTTCCAACTTTAGATCGTTTTAAAGTGAACAAGATCATAACGAAACGGTGTCTACAATGATTGGTGCTGGGCCCCTTGTTATTCAACGTGTTTTATGAAGGATTACGGACAACAGACTACTTGTAGTCAGGTTAATCCGAGCCGCGCGTTGAAAAGGCTTAAAAGTTTTCTAAATTGTCTTTAACAGAACATAGAAATGTAATGTTATCAAATGAGAAAATAGTAGGCCTAAAGGTGCTGCTGGGGGACCGATAAATCTCTAGAGGATACCCCTTCATTGCTAGTACAGTAGTATTAATGGGGTGTATCACAGTAGTAAGGGGTCAGGGGTCAGGGGCCAGGGTTATTTCGTCGGCTTTGATCAAAGGCATTTCATTACAACAGGTGTGAGCTAATACAGAACCTTTTGTTAAAGATAACTTTGAGAGGTCAGGGCAATGTAAGCTTGCTTGGAAACAAGATTTTGTCAAATGTTATCATTAGTGCAGAATAGGAACTGCATGAATTACAAATAGAGAAACACAGAGGAATACATTATTTCAAGAAATAAAACTAGGCCTAAGGAAAATGAAAAGGAAAAAGGAAAACAATATCTTTGGTATATTATTATATTCCGGACTTCAGCTAACCACATCTCTTTGTGAGTATGTGTAAAGAAAGAAGTACTTTACTGTCTTTTGGAGTTTGAGTGTACGCGTCTCCAAGTCGAAAATAATAATTTGTTGAAAAAGGGCAAACAATTTGTAATCAAATTATAAACTAGGAGTACGCTCCGAAGTCGCGTATGAGAATGAACGAAGACAATTCCATGTAGGCTACCATGTATAATCTGTCTTTAGTCTTTGGTGCCCCTTAACCCTGCCTCTGCAGCCCGCCGCAAGTTTGTGCGGCGACAGTGGCAGTGATCAATTATCAATTATCAATTATTTAAGATGGGGACGCCACTATGTGCGTATTTTAACCCAAATGACCAGCGTTGCCATCACAACTTACTCATTTTACCCGCAAAATCCGGTGGTAATCCCCGGAATTAGCCGGAATCAAGTCTTGATTACCCGCAAAATCCCCTGAATTCAAATTTTAAAGATTTCGGCAAACTTTTTGGTAAAAACCTCGTTGTAACCACGTTGTTACGGTGCATTGAGAGAATTATTAATATTTATACCATTCTTTCTTATATTCAGCAAACCGTTCATCATTCAAGTTATTTTTAAGGCTACCTTTTTTAACTGAAGTCAAATGAAATGTAATGAAATATCTTTTTATGTAGGTACCATACCTATTTATGCAAATATTTTTATCTTTCTGAAAGAGAGGTACCGGAACTCCGTTCCACTGCATTCCCCCCAAATCGAGCACTGAATAACAGTAAGACTCTATCCCCTATATCAACCATATAAATAAAAAAAAACATAAAATTTACAAGAATTTAAACCTTATGTGGTGGCCCCTGGCCCTATCATAAATTGAATAAATAGTGTTAATTATAAAAGCTAGAGCAAGTAATGCAAGAGTACCCTAGGTCTATCGCGAATGGCAATTTGAGTACTGTGGTTAATTTGGAATTCTTATGAATAATATTCAATAGTTTGATGCCATAAAATGGTGTTAGTCCCTTATGGAAAAGTGGACTGGTCCCAGATCTGGATTCTTTATCTGACCAGATCTGGGATGACATATCTGGACATATTCCAGATCCGGCACCCATATCTAACCAGATATGGAATTAGTTCAGATCTGGCATCACAGATCTGATCGTATCTGGCATCCAGATCTGACCAGATATGGGATATGAAATTGATAAAATTTGTGTTTTAAGAGACAAACTAACATTTTATCTTATCCACAATTTATTCTTATAAAATCCAAGCCTAAAAAAGATAGTAACCATTGACAGAGAAAATGAAAAAACTTTAACTAAATTAACGCATGACTAAAAACAAATAGTTTTAATTTGTTTAGTTTGTAGAGTGTTGTTTATTGTAGGCCTTTGACAATCAATGTTGTTTTTGTGTCATATGGTTGCCAACTATTTGTTTTAGCATAAGTAAAGGACCATTAAAAAAGTATTAAAGTACTAAGTTAGCCTACGATAACATTGGGTGTAGGCCTAACTTATCTATGGCTTACTTTTTTAATTATTAATTAACTGGTGAACCCCTCTTGACATTTTCATTAAAATATTCCAATTTTTCACTTCATTGGTAGATAGGCCTATGAGATCAATAAATGATTAAATCTGTAGGAACTGTTGTAGTCAGTCGAATTTCGTTTGGTAAAAGTTCTACCGAGCAAGACAATTTTTGGGAAATGTTATCTTACAGTTACGAGACCTAGATTCTCGTATTCGTAATGGCTTTCGTTACAATACGTGATTAGAAGTTGCCGTGGTGTAGTGGCTAAAGCCGGGTTTACACGCTACGATAAAACGTAACGATTTGTCTGCAACGACAAATCGCTCATGCAAAACGGAACGTGTAAACTGGAAGTCGTTACGTTTTGTCTGAGTTGGAGTGAGGTTGGAAGGTTGGTGGAAATTTCCACTAATTTCTGAAGATCGTAGCGATTTTCTGTAGATCGTAGCGACAAGTCGTTGCGTGTAAACGGTGACTCAGCCATCGTTGCAACCTGTAGACCCTCCGATTTCGCGTTGTTCCAGTTAACTGTTGTGTAATTAATTGTACTGTGTAGTACTGTTGTTTTAACCGCTGTGGTATATTTTGACTGTGTAGTGTAGTGTGAAGTTTATATTTACTGTTTTTTGTCACATTTGTCACTATGTCAGACATACGTCAAGCATCTCGTGAATTTGTAATAGAGTTCATTGAACTATACAAGAGTTTGTGGCAAGTCAAACATAAGGACTATTCTGACAGGAAGAAGAAAGACCTGGCCTATGTAGAATTAATCAACAAATATAAAGAAATTGACCCGTCTGCAGGCAATTGACAGGGCAACTACTTAACAACAAGATACATCTGGTAGTGGTTTGAGAGCCAAAGTTAGAGAAAAAGACGGAACGTGTAAATGGTCCGCTCAACCTACGACAAAACGTAACGATTAGTCGTTGCAGACAAGTCGTTATGTTTTATCGGAGCGTGTAAACCCGGCTTAAGTGATGTTATCTTACAGTTGCGAGACCTAGATTCTCGTATTCGTAATGGCTTTCGTTACAATACGTGATTAGAAGTTGCCGTGGTGTAGTGGCTAAGTGATCGGAGTTCAACGCTAGAGTCCCTGGTTCAAATCCCGGTCGGGCATATTCAAAACTTTTACTAACATTTTTTTCACTTTTTAATTTTTATTGAATTTTTAATGCATAGTTTATTAGGTTTTAATGTTAAAACATCTTATATTCTTTTTTTATTTTATAAAAATCATTTT